CACTTTTGAAATAACAGATACTTGAAAATCCTATGAATAACAGAGTGATGTAGTACTGGAAATAGAGCCTCTCAGATTGGAAGACCTTAAAATAAATAGAAACAACTGGAACTGTCCATTTATAATTTGAATATGGTTTGTAAGAAGTATGGATCTAGGAAAATTGGAATTCTTTAAAAATGAAGTAGAATGTGTAAGAGTGACATGTAGACATCAGTGAGGGTGAGATAGACTGGTATATGAATCAGATGATTGTATGATCTTTTACATTGGGAATGACAAATTGAGAAAGAATGCAGTTGTCTTCATAATCACAAAGAACATTTCACGATCTGTCCTGAAGTACAATGCTATGAGTGACAGGATAGCACCCACGTGGATATAAGAAAGACTTGTTAATACAACTATTATTCAGATATACACAACAACCTCTAATGCCAAAGTGATGAAATGTAATACTTCTACCAACTTTTGCAGTCTAAAAAAGATGAATTGTGAAATAAAAATGATTGAAGAATAATGGATGACTGGAATGCAAACTTTTGAAACAAAGGAGGAGGACTGTTAGTTGGAAAATACAGACTTGATAAGAGGCTGGAGATTGAATGATGGAATTTTTCACAACTAGTGATTTATTCATTGCAGATACCTTTTTTAAAAAAAAAAACAACAAAACACCACAACACCTGTGTTGATTGTACACATGGACTTTACCTGATGGACTACACAAGAATCAGATTGACTATGTTTGTGGATAAAGCTTAGAGTCAACAGTTAAAACCAAGTGACTGAAACTACTCCCATACAGGCTCAAATAGAAGTAGAAGAATATGAAAATAAGTCCATATAAAACCATAATGTGACCTGGAGTCTATCCCATTTGAATTTAAGTCTTAGGTTCTCCTAATGTCCAGGAAGGTGGTGGTGGTGGTGGTTGTTGTTGTGTACCATAGAGTCAGAACCGATCTCGAGCGGATTTTCAGAGTCGACAGTCACATGGGAGGAGATTGTACATGCTTCTCCCATAGAGCACTTGGTGCCTTCAGGATTGCAGCTTGCCACTGGGCCACCAGAGCTTCTTCCTATTTGAATTTAAAAGCCATCTCAAGAATAGATTTGATATCTTGAGCACAATAGTTGTAAGATGACAGACATCAAGGCAAAAGGTGACTCTCAGTGACCTTGAGCATAACACAAATGGTGAGTAAAGCACAGGATAGGGCAAGGTTCAGGTCAGTTCATAGGGTTGCTGTAAATCACAGGCAACTCAATACACCTAAAACCACTACCACCACCATTACCACCACTACCACTTCAGTATAATGTGCACATTATTATACATAGTACATAAAATCTCTTAAGGGATGGACAAAACATAGGTACATAAGTTGTTTACTTTGATTATTTAAATAGGAATACATTTAGGGAAGCCCAAACTTACTTGTAAGTGAAAATTTTGGATCTGTTTTAATATAAATGTTCCATTGTGATAGGCAGTAAGGGACTGCTCTGAAGGGCAAAGACATTTACTCCCCTCCCTTGTGATTTACAGCTTCTGAAAGCCTACTGAAGGATGAGCTGTGAGTCTGTTCCACCTTAGTGGCACATAACAGGCATGGGTATATCTGCTAGAATTCAGGCACTGCAAAGATCTGACATCAACTTGTTAGGTACAATCAAATTAGTTCTGACTGTGGCTACAGTGTCTGGATTGGGAAGGGGAGAGGCGAGGTGGGGACACACACACACACATACACTGCCCAGCTCTACACTACCATTACAGTTGTTGCCATGTTTGAACCCAATGCTGGCAGCTATGTATCAGTTCATCTTGTTGATGAACTTTTCCCTGACCGACCCTTTTTTTGAGGTTGTTTTGTGCAGTAGAATCTAGTCAGACTGACAAGGGAGATTGCCCCTCCTTCTCCAGTGGAGCATCTGGTGGATTTGCATGGCCTGCTTTCCAGATTGAGGCGTAGTTTCTTGCCAGTAAGATACCAGAGCTCGTTTGACCAATATATTTAACAAGTAAGAAGATATCCTTCTCCAAGGCCTCATTCATCTCTGCCGTTAATGTGTCCAAAGCATGTGAAACAAATTTCTGTCTGTTCTTCAAAAAAGAATATTCTGGTTGTACTCAGGTTTCCAAGTCAGATTTGTTGATTTTTCTGGCATACATTCTTTATCCACACCATAATTCAAACACATTAGCCTAGAAGAGCCATTTTCTTCCTCTGCAACAATATTTTGTCCAAAATGACATTTCTTGTGGGAGAGAATATATATATGTATATATGTGTATATATATATATGTGTGTGTGTGATGTGTTAAAGTAGTAGATGTAATTATGAGAAATACTATTTTTTTAATCTTAATGCTATCAGTTTTATATTCCATGTAAGTGATGACTACATTTGTAAGTAGATGTCATTTATTTTAGAAAAGCTCTTTTAAAAAAGAGATTGTTTCATATTACATTTTTTAAGCAAGAGATGGGAGCAAGTCTCTTAGAAAAGTATACAGTGGAAAGTCAGGAGAGGAAGACCTCCAAAAAAGATGTATTGGCACAGTGACTGTAACAATGGTCTCAAGCAAATTGTTGAGGACGGCACAGGATAGAACAAAGTTTAGATCTGTTCTCAGGGTCTTGGTAAATTCAAAGGTACCCAGCAGCAACAGCCACACTATATTGCATACAAATAAGCACAGTTTATGATCAGTTACTGAGTTTCTTTCCACATAGTAACCCTTGTGGATTGGTAATGTAAGTCTGGAGTGCTTTGTATAAGAGGAATTTTTAGAGGAGCCTAGGTCTCAAAAAAGATTTCTGCAGTATGTGAATTTTACTGTTAAATAGTATTATGGCAGATAATTGATAGAAATCTCTTTCACAGTGTTACTCTTTATAAGTGATTACTATCCACAAGCGGGTAAACAAAGGTTAATTGATTTTGGGATGAATATTTTTTTTTAAGTGGTACAGCAGTGTTCTATTTCCTGTTCTGACGTAACTTGGAGTCGTGGTGTTGCTGAACACTGTGGTATAGGTATCATGGGTTACCCATCATGGGCAGTATTTGGTGAAGCTCCCAGAGTGATTCAGGTTTGGAAGCAGGAATGTCATCTACTTCCTAAATCACATGCCTTTGGAAAGCCTATGAACATAGAGAAACGATGATAATTATAGGGTTCAAGTCTTTTTTTTTGAGTCACTGTAAGTTATACTTGACTCAACTGCAGTTAACAACAAGAACGGATGAAAGGGAGACTGAGGGAAGTAGTTCTACTCTGGAAAGGTGGGCTTTCTTGTTTTGGTTGAGGGTCAGTTAACAGCAAGAATAGATGAAAGGGAGACTGGGCAAAGCAGTTCTACTCTGAAAGATTGGGTTCTTTTGGTTGAGGGTTGTGTGGAATGTTTGGTGGTTTGTTATTTAAGCCTCTTGTTCAAAACCACCTCCTGGAGGGGCATTTCTAGTCCCTCAGGCCTAGTGTAATTAGAGTTTAGAGGAACATTCTTCTCAGTGGTTGAACACTGGTCTGTCACTTTGCCATACTGAGGTAACCTGGAGTGGCTATGTGGCTATGATGCTGAACTCTGTGCCATTGGGGTGTGAAATGCCATAGTGATAATCCATGGTGGATGGTGTTTGGTGGAGCTCCCAGATTAAGACATGTTTGGAAGCAGGAGTGGAATCCACTTACTAAAAATATGCCTCTGGTAACTATGAACTTTGAGAATCGACGATAGTTACAGAAAGACTTCAGGTCTTTTTGTTCATAGGGTCACTTTGAGTGTGCTCGACTCGTTGGCAATCATCAACAATATCCTTTTTATTAATTAGTGGAAATTTGAAAATGTGTATTTCTAGATAATATGTGTAGAGTCTGAGACAGGAAAGAATCAAGAAAACTTATTCCATATAGCAGTTAATTTCTTAAGTATTTAGATTGAAACATTTATATGTAAGTGACCTGCTCTGTAGTTGTACTGCTAACTCAAAGGCTTCGGCTCTCTGGTTGTTTGAAAGTACAAACAGCTCCGGGAATGAAAGATGGGCAGTCTCCTCCTGTGGGACTTGAGCCTGGGAAACCTGCTGGAAGGTGAGGGGGTGTATGTGTGTGCGTGTGCGCGCGCCTCTGAAAACCTTCTGGAGGGTCCGCTGTGGATTGGTTCTGACTTGACAGCACACAACAGAGACACAAATATTTTGTGAATTTTATAAAATATCTCTGATAAAAGTTTTCCAGTTTTTTATACTTTAAAATATTTGTCTTTCACATTATTTCATACAATCAGTTGTCATTTGTATCTTAAGAAATTAATCACTGTTGATCTATGCGTACTCTAACCCCATCTTTTTAAATTCCCACTGATCCTTTCCTAATTACTTTACCTCTTTCCTCCAAACTTTTCTACCTCTTGATTCCCCCAACCCCCTGTTATCTCCCCTTCCCTATTTGGACATTTATACGCATCTTACTACTTAGCTTCTGAAGCAACTTTATTTTAAAATTGTTTTAACTCATTTGAACTATTAAATAAATTAACCAAACACCAAACCCAACCTATTAAATTTAATTCTGACTCAAAAGAGAAAGATGAGACTGTCTTCCCTAAAGATTGACAGCCCTGGAAAACCCAGTGGGGTACTTCTATTCATTTCTTCATTGTTATTATGTGTCAGAGTCAGTGCATAAGGTGGTAGAAATTTCATTGATTAATTGTAATAGTATACTAGTCTGTTGACATTTTAATTCAAAGATTATTTTAGTGCTTGATTTAATATAGCAGTTTACTTTTTTCCATATATGCCATGTTGCAAACTTTTAAACATTCTTGATCTTTTAAAATTTTGGATTTCTTAGAGAACAATAGAAATATCTTAAGAAAACAGATTTGGGGTGGACTATTTAGGATTTTTAAGTTCAGTCATAGAAGTTCACTAAGTGTTGATAAAATGATGTTACCTTAAAATGACTTTTTTCCCCCCTCCTTTAGAATCCAGCAACTATCACAAGAATACTCCTTAGCCACTTCAATTGGGATAAAGAGAAGCTAATGGAAAGGTAAGGAAGTTTCTTGTCAGCTTTATATTTCAAAGTTCATACAGAATTTAACTGGCTTAAAAATAATACTACAGAAAGTTTACTGAACTGAATTTGTAAGAAGGAGGTTTTGATTTGTGTACCAGTATTAAAACTATTATGCATTGGTTTTATTTCTCTCCCCCTGCCCCATTTATAAATTTTGAGAAAAAACTCCGTTTAATATTTCTGCCATCCTAAGGGCAGACAGTTGAAATCCCTCATTTGCTCTAAGGGAGTAAGATGTGGACATTCTTTTTCTTTGTGATTTACAGCCTCTGAAACCTCCCATGGAGGGTCAGCTATTGTTGGTTCTGACTTGACAGGAGAATAACAACAATTTTAGTTGGAAATCTCTGAAGTAGACAACTCGAGTTTGTTCTAAAAAAATGAGCTGGGGGGGAAAAATGAGCTTGATGCATTCAGAGCATATAAAGGCTTTTTGGTGAATACTTAAAAAAGAGTTTGCCCATAAATTGGAAATCTGTATTAGGTTATATACATATCAGTGTTTCCATAACAACCCCAAAACCAAACCCACTGCTTTCAGGTTGATTCTGACCTGTACCAACTGTAGGACAGAATAGATCTACCTTGAGGATTTCCTAGGCTGTAACTCTTTACAGAAGCAGAAGGCCTCTTCTTTCTTCCATGAAAAACCACGGTGGGTTTGAACCAGAAAATCTATATATTGTTACATTATTCTGTCGATTTTATTTCATTGAGAAATTTAATTTTGGTATAAATTTGCCTCTTATTATTGGTAATTGAAAGTCCCAATACTGTGAAAAATAAGTGCAAGGTATTTCCCACTGATTTAAAATTCCAAGTATATGTTTTGACAGGTATTAAATAATACTAAAATATTACCAAATTTTACATTCTTTGTCACCTGCATTAAAGATTTATATAGTAAAACCTTTGTAAAGCGGAAACCTGTTAGAGAAGGAAAATTCATATAATTTCTATCAATTAAAGGTGTGTTGTGTGTTGAGTTGCTAAGTGAAAGATTTGTTGTTTGAATCCACCTGTCATACCCTGTTATAAAAATGGGTGTTCTCTTTCCAGAAAGGTTTACAGCCTTATTGATTGAATGGTTAGAGGGCTAGTTTTTAATAGAGATAGAAAAATGAAAAGACTTGTCAAGAGGACTCAGCCCCTGGAAAATCATACCAATCCTCAGAGTTCTAGCTCACAAGTTATACTCTAATAATACCTTCTAATTTTTAAGTCTTTATCAAGACACTTTTATTTTATTCTTGTGATAGCTTTATACCATCTCTAGATTAGTGATGTCCTTCTTGATCAATAATGGTGGTTGGTGGTTTTTGTCCATCTTGTCATGTCCTGTTCCTCTTCCTCCCATTTTCATGGATCTAACAGATTTAAGTCAGTTATGCCTTACAGTATTTTTTTTTAACATTTACTTTCATGTTGTTATTTTTAGAAACGTCTTGTACCAATATGATTGACATTTCTGCATCTCTTTCATGCTAGTAAAGTTTGTAGGGAGTTGTATTACTAACCCAAAAGTGGCACCTTTCTGGTGGTTTGAACCCACTGGAAACTCTGTTGGAAAAAGATGCTTGGTTTCCTCCTATGCCATTTAACTCATTGTTTTGCTTTTCTTTCTGAGTCTCTCTGCAATTTAGCCATCTTGACTTGCATGTATTAATAGTATCTGTTTCTTTTTAATAAGGGTGTTTTTTTTAGATTATGTAATACTCTCCATTAACTCTGTTAATTTAATGTAGCAATTTTTATACAGATGTCTTCTCAATTGTGTCAATAATATATAAAGAAGAGGATTTAAAATAATGGACTTTATGCTCCTTAAAGTATATTATTTGCAAACTGACCACATATGTAGACTACAAAAAAAAACCTCCAAAAAATGCTGTTTATGCCTTCTTTACCTTGGAACTCAGAAAGTTACTAAAAGTACAAATATAGGACATAGCTTAAGAGGTACAAGGAACTTTTATATGCCAGATGTAGAAGATGATCTTTGAAAACTGGAGTTTAGGAGAAAATAGCACTATAAGCTTGAAGAAAGAATAGAATTTTTGAAATCAAACATGTTTCTACACACACACAAACCGTACAAAATAACCAACAACAAAAGTCCACAAGCTTTAAAAAAATAATCAGAGTAAAGAAGGTGTTAATGAACAGCATTGGGAATTACAGGTATTAAAAATAATAATAGACTAAGATAATGAGTTGAATTTTATAAGTTAATGGTGTAGTACGATGTAACTTAGAAATCCAAGCGATAGGGTGGAAAAGTAAAAAATAAGAGAAGCAGCTACTAAGTTTAAAAAGATTGCTGAAAGGTATGAGTAGTCATCGCATCAAAGCAAAGAAGCATATAATAAGGTATGAGTGGTCATAGCATCAAAGCAAACAAGCATATAATAAGATGTTCAACATTATAAAGCAATCCACTCTACAAACTCAGCTTACTGCTTTTGAGTCGGAAGCAGCTCATAGCTGACCTGTATGCAGGTTTTCATAGATCAAGTTCCACAGGGATAGTACACATGTTTTTCACTGAGCTGCTAGTGGATTCGAACTCCAGAGAGGTACTGCCTTTGGGATAGCAGTACAACTCATATGAACTGTACCACCAGAACTCCCTTTATACCAAAGAACCCTGAGGGTTTTTAAATAAATCAGTAGGGGATTACAAATTAAAGTGGCTGGACTCTGTAAGATGGGCTCTCTTTGATTGAGGGTCAGTCCGGAGTGTATGATTGTTTTTTATTAAAGCCTCTTGTTAACACTCAACACTCCTGGAGGGCCCTTGTCTTTAAAAGTTGGGCGGGAGGGATTATATTTTAATCCCTTGTAACTATATTTTGGGAGAACATTCTTCAAAATCATGGCAATTTGCTGTGCTGAAGTAATCTAGGTTTGCTGTAATGCTGAACCTTGTGCCCATTGTTTGCCCATTGTTGACAGTGTTTGGTGGAGCTCTCAGTTTAAGACAGGTTTGGAGCAGGAGTGGCATCCACTTTCTAAACCACATGCCTCTGGAAACTATGAACTTGGAAAAACAACAATAGTTATAGAAAGGCCAGGTCTTTTGTGCAGATGGTTGCTATGAGCTGTGCTTGACTCGATGTCAATCAACAACAGCATACTTTCTAAATGATAAAGATTTTTTTTTATAAGAAAGACAGTACCCCCATATGAGCACAACTTTACCATGGTAAATTAAAACATCAGAAGTATGTAAGACTAGAGGACTAGTAAATGCTACAACATTTACAAATTTCCAGCAGTAATAATGGCCCAAAACATGAAAGATTACTCTGAAAAGTATGTAATTTTTCTTTGTGTAGAAAAACATGTAAATATTAGGGTCTGCTTTTATAGTAGGTATATTTGAAGTTAAAAATATGTACTTGTTTGTGTGTGCTATGTATATATTCATTTATATAATAAACCAATTTAAGACATAATGAGTCTTCATATGCAAACAAATACTGTAGCAGTTGGTTTACTAAGTTATAAGACTTGTTTACCCATGTTCCACTTGAGACAACTCAAATGTAAAGATAATACTTGGCATCCTGCTTTGGTGAGTGGGGTTTGAAGTCTTAAGACAACTCCTGGTCTCGCTTCATCTGGTGTCAAAAAAAGGAAAGAAAGAAAAAAACCAAAGGCTCAAAGAAGGAGGTGTAGTGCACAGGATTAATAGTCCACATAACCCATACCCTCTTCTGACCTGAGGTTGTGCCTGGTTGCCACTGACTGTTCTGGTCATGGACACAGTAGAAATTCCTCTGTAAAATGGGAATTTGAAATGAAGCCTAAATTTCACAACCAAATCACACTTACTGGACTGATAGAGACTTGAGGAACTCTCAAGTCTGTTGCCTTAAAATGACCCCTTTAACAGAAGCCACTCATGAGTAACATCACCAGTGAATAATGTACTACTTTAAACAGTAAACTATATGAGGCAACATGGTTAACATTTCTACAAAAGCAACATAACATGGTTAACATTTCTACAAAAGCAACAATGAGAAGACCAGAAAAGGCAGGGAAGCTATACATTGAAACAGAACAAGGGGAACTCTGATGGCCTAGTGGCGAGAAGCTGCACTGCAATCCCAGAGGTGCATGGTTCAAATCCACCAGGTACTCTGCCGGGGAAGGAGGGACAATCTCCTCTGTTACCAGTCAGATCTGATTTGACGGTACACATACACAAAAACAATACAATAAACATTAAAAAAATGTAAAAAAAAATTGAAACAGAACAAATAGAATGACAATAATGAGAATATTGGCACATTTTAAATATTGTAGCAATATCATGGAACATTTGTTAAATGGGAAACTAATTTTCTATATTAACTTAACTTAAAAATATATTAAAGGGAAGGGAGCTCTGGTGATCTAGTGGCAAGAAGCTGCACTGCAATCCCAGAGGTGCATGGTTCAAATCCATCAGATGCTCTGCTGGAGAAGGAGGGACAATTTCCTCCTGTACCATTCAGATCTGATTTGATGGTACATGCACAAAAAAGAATAAAATAAAAATGAAAAAAATATATTAAGGGGAGCTGAAGAAAAAGGACATGATTCTTACGTTAAACAAGAATATACCATAATAGAGCATGGATGTGGCAACATTAAATGCTGGTGAATATAGAGTAGCTAGAGCTCTTATTCACTGCTGATGGGACTGTCATATCATAGAAAACTTCTTAACAGCATTTTTTTTAGTCTGTCTTAGCAATATTTATTTAACATTCCATCAATAATGAGAACAATATTGAATCTTTCCCATTCACTAACATGGTATATCTCTCCATTTCCTTAGGTCATTTTTTATTTTGTTTTCAGCAGATTTGTACTTTCTTATTATTGTACATGGTTTGACAGATCCAAGCTTTCCCCCCCTTTTGTTATATGAATGTAAATGATGCTGTGTATTTTAATTTCAAGTTTTTATGGTTTCAGAT